AACAATAGAAACATGTGAAATATGCCTGGCGACTTTGGCCGGCGAACTGAGGTCAATTTAACATCATTGTTAAAAGCATCTATTGTTAACATGTACTGAGGCAGTAGCGACCGAAAACAAAAATTGGTGAACGAATTTAGTTTAGACAGCGAGACGACACTGCACACGCATTCCCTCGCAGTGGTCGATACACACTAACGCAGGGCTAACTGATACGACTCTACTTTTTGACCCGAGTTATCATAACCCCGGAAGAACAAGAACGCACATGCGCAAGGCTAATTAGCATAATTTATTTGGATGGATAAACAGGCATGGCCGTTGCGTTGATTTTTTTCCTTTTTGCTATCAGTTCCAGTTACATGTGTATTTATCGATATTTATAGGAGTTCAAAGTGAATAAATACCGATACTAAATAACAAGTGAGCCGTTATGTTTTTTTGTTGGTAATCATTTCGATCGGGGATTTACCGTCGGCATTCTGATTTACTCCAGCCACATGCATAGGGACCGTGACTGTCCCGGCGACTCACACAACTTTTGCGGGTGGTCATCGTTGTGGTTGCTCGATTGATTCATTGAACAAAATTGTAAGTTATTCCCATGGTATACATATTTCAACAAAACATTAATGACAGCATGTTTTTTTTATCAAGACACTCGAGTTCGTAATTATGTTTTTGGCGTTCCATACATCTGTACATTGTGCTTGCCATGGTAAACAGAATTATATACAAGAATAAAACACAATTGCCGAAGCCATCGGTTGAATGAAAGGTGTGAAAACGTGCTAACTTTGTCCTCTGTGAGCTTATTAGTTGTCTGAGGTGGAAGGCAGTAGTCTGCAAGACATCAGGGAACTATGTCCGTTATATGTAGTTCCATTGATTACTGCGGCCGCTGAAGCGTGGCCATTGGCCGCGTTAGGCAGGTGGCCGCTATAAACAGGGTACTTTACATGTAAAATTCGTAGGGACTGTTCGGTTGTGACCGCTACAGGCAGGTGGCCGATGTACCCAGGTGGCCGTTAACACAGGTTTGACTGTATATGTAATTTAGTTTGCTGTTATGTATACAGGTAAGTTAATGTTATCATACAGAACACCATGTCAAAGCGGGAGGATCGTCACCTGTGCACGTGCGAGAATTGAGTCCCAAGTGATGATAACAATACACACTAATAATGCAAAGGCTCATGGGTAGACGCTTGTTTGTAAACAATGACACGTTATGGCTATCTGACGCATGCGCAGGCGACGAATCCCCCACTTTAAGATAACACCTGCTGAATGCTTCCATAGATAGCTGATATGAATGGAACAAAATGACATTTGCATGCGACATATTTACATACCTATGCAATTACATTGAATTGCAGAAAAAAAATCTACCTCATACTAACATGTACATGTATGTACCCATAATGCTCTCATTCGAGTTACCCCCATTTCTCTGCAAAGCCATGTTTGTCTATGGCGAAGCAATTAACACATTCGGGCACTATATGAGCTATCACTTTCATGGCCCAGGACAAGACACTAAGAATAGTCCTATAGCCAAGTACAAGTAAAATAGCCAATTCGAACATGTGACAGTAAACTTGCCATAAGGCTAAAAAAAAAAAAATTGTTTTGTTGCCCTCAGCGGCCGACCGAAAAATATGAAATATCAGGTTGCGTTTTTTTTTCCCGTTATACCTCGGCTATTTACGATACCCTTAGTTTTCATGAGTTTATAAAAAAAAAAAAAAAAAAATCTGACCGATCGTAATTTTTTAATTTTCTGACTTGATGGCAACATAAGTTGTTGTTTTATTTGGCCTAACAGAGTATAGTAAACACATATGGGACATAAATTCCAGACAAATGAGTTCAAAACTTAACAACAAGCCTTGCATGACAACATAAGGCATTCAGTTTACCATTGGAATTACTCCTTTATGGCCTCCACCTACATGATCACATGGCAAAGATTGACCAATAATCCAGAGGTTCAATTAATGTAAAGACATAATAAAGTACTTACAGGTCCAAAACCACCGCCTGCAGACACAAAATCAATATGCTTGGAAAGATCCCACAAAGTGGTTTGCTGGTATGGTGTCTGACTTGTGGATAACTTCCAAGGCTCACTCAACACCTAGAATCATGAGAAGAAACTGTTATGCCCCAAATCTGAAAGCATTCAATTAAAACAGTGAATACACAAAGTTAATATTAGAATGCATTATTTCTGTAACTAAAACCCTAAATTTTAAATCTGTTAATTTTAACTCAATGATACACTGTTTTGCAGAATGAATCAAATGAATACTTAGAAACAGTTTACCTTTATCTGTTCTCAGAAAAAAATTGTTCATTAATTTTCTATATTAGCAAGTACAACACACGTATTTGCTACAGAAAACTCGAACACTGCCCTCAGTGATAACAGGATTGTAATTTTTATTTGGCCTCTAGAAGGCACATAATATACATTTTCTAAGATTCCAAATACACAGAAAGTAATTGAAGTTCATTTCAGGTCTAAAAAAAAACATGACAAAAATAACGTTTTGACAAATTTGACTCAAAAAACTGGTACTTAAAATATTTTGGAATCATTTTTATTTCGCAATAAACTTGCACAAATGTAAACTGGATAATGACAACCATCTCAAAATGGAATATTCCATGAAACTAACTGACCTACCTCCTTCAAGAATGGCGAGTCCACTTCCAAGTACTTGGATACAACATATAGACAGAATAAATGCCTGTCAATACCATGACCTGTCATGGCGTCTCTGTAGGATTTCACATGCACTTCACATGCCTTATGAAGTAGATCCACACGCTCAGCATCCTGAATGCAAAAAACATTGTACATTTACTGTATTTATATCAAGGGTAGATAAAAGTATGGGCTTGTTGGTGAGGGTGTATGCGACGTGGATCATTTCATGAGAAAATTAGATGATGATGCACTAAGTGCATGGTGTTACTGCCACATTGCTTTGTTTCACCGTCACAATGATCCGACAAAATCACGGCCATTATCCTGACTGCCAAAATAGTTTATTTCTGTTTATGGTAGCATGTTTTAATAAACATGTCAATCACTGTAGTTTCAGTTTGAAAATAATCATGCAAATCGGTATGCAGTGGTTTGAGAGAACATTGCTATTTTCATTAAATTCAATACCACACCATAGTTCATAATAAGTCATGAAGGATTGCAAAATAATGTAAGATTAGTCGATATAAGTACATAATTCTTTCCTTATTTATTCAATATTGATAAAAACTTGTAGTCAGTGAGAAATGATGTCCATTTAGTCAAAAATTAATAACAAGTAACCTCTCGGCTGAGATAGCTCTGCTGTTAGCAATGCACATTTCAATTAAAGAACAGAAGATATCATTGGAAAATGAACAAATCTGAAAGAGGTTTAGTCAAGGTACCTATATGTATAATATCAAAGCAATCAGCTGTTTTTAACAAAAAATCATAAATGTCACTTTTTACCAAAAATATTCATCAAAATTAGAGAATTGTGAAGATATCATCACGAAATGAACAAATCTAAAAGGGTTCTACCCAAGGTACAAATACACAAAGTATCAAAGCAAGAAGAATTGTAGTTTTCAAGAAAAAGTTGACAAGGACGCCGGATAATCAATCTTATGATAGGCTCTGCTCAACAGTCGACAGGGAGCTAAAAACAATACACAGAATGTTACAACCACAATCAAGATGTTCAAAAGGTTATTGGGAAAAGAAATTTAAATTTAATTTGACATATGACTGTCAAATCATTGCTAACACTATTGCATAATTCAGAGCAACCGTAACACAGAATAATGTTTATTGAAAACATGTTTTCCTGTTGACTGACTCATGTAAGCAAATAGGGACTGTGGAATAGTTAGTGACTTCCTCGTTGGGTGACACTCCCATGCCTTGCATCTTCCAGTAGATACCAAACAGCAATAAAGTACGGTGTTAGAAACTTACCGTTTTAGTAGGATCATCCATAGCATACACAAAGTCACATGACTCAACAGTACATGGTCTGACAGTTTCAGTACGTCCTTCTCGGTACATCCTTGTCATGGACGCCTCATATGTCAGGTTGAATTTACCGGCGTCCTATCAAAATAGAAGACAGTCATTTGAGGAAAACAATCATTCTGTTATAGTAGTGTTTACAACAGTATCAAGATTTTGATGATGGTTGATAATAAATCTAATACATTTCCCTCTTGATAATTGTAACACTGTTCAACTTACTAGTAGTAAAAAATTAATGTTTGGCCACAAAATGTACGAAAATGGATGGAAATCAAATAGTAGTATAGTCAGATGATGAAATTGGGAATTTTTTTTTATAAACTAGATTCAAATTCCTCAGATGGTAGATAATGGTGAATGAAATAAACAAATTATCGACACCAAATACGACAATAATGACATGGACGAATACTAAGGCAAGTGACTTAAGAACTCTTACTCTGAAATAAGCCAGCTGCATGGCCATCTGAATAAAAGCATCTGGACTGACGTTACACTTCTTGATAAACCCTTTCCCAAATGCACCATGCATTTCTAGATGAAGATCAACGTCGTTCAATAACTTGGTGGCAGTATGTAAACTGGACTGGATAGCTTCCTCACACTGAAAATATTAAAGATGAATATTGGACTAGACTCACAGTGAAACCTCAAGCTATCTGTTCACAAACTGAAAAGTCACTTAATACAAGCAGCCTGGTAGCTGAGATAGCTCCACTGTTAGTAATGCACATTTCAATTAAAGAACTGAAGATATCATTAAAAAATGAACAATATGTATAGTATCAAAGCAATCAGACTTGCTGTTTTCGACAAGAAATATCACTTTTTACCAAAAATGACAAAAATCTTCACAAAAATTAGAGAATTGAAGATATCATCACAAAATGAACAAATCTGAGAAAGGTCCACATGTAGTATCTATATATGTAATATCAAAGCAGTTGAACTTGCGGTTTTTAACAAGTAGTCGAAAATATTACTTTTTACCAAAAATGACAAAAATATTCACCAAAAATAGAGAATTTAAGATTTTGACATGAAATGAACAAATTTGAGAAAGAACTATTCCAGGTATATGCATATCAAATTTAAAAAAAGTCTGACTTGTGCTATCGAAGTAGAAGTTGAAATTGTAAAGTTGACGACGATGGATGGCGACTGACAATCAGTAATATGAACAGCTCCGCTGTGTTGACTTTGTTGACAGCGGAGCTAATAAAGCATCTGACATATACATGTATACATGTTTAAACAGCGACAATGATTAACTACCTCCGGTACTAATTCTGTTTCATAAAGCGTCCTTTTCAGTAAGATACACAAAATAAATTCCTTTGAACTTCTCATTGGGACTAGTTACACAAATTCTCGATGTATGGACTAATGCCACATGCATCAACTTTGTTGTGAAAATTGTTGAGATATTCAATGAGTTATTGTTATAAAAGATGGCATGGTAAAACTATGGCTAATCTATATTTATTTTTTCCAGCATGTAAACAGACATTTGTGTACAGAGCTTCGGAATGTTTGGTGAGAATATCATTACTAGCATTCTGTTGTTTAGTTGTTCAGTGTAGGCAAATAGCAGTGCTAATTTCACTTCCAGTAGACACCAGTCACAGTGACGTCTGTGAAATAAATCATCTATACGAGTAGTGTATGATTATGATGAAGCGCTTTAATTTTTCGAGAGACGAATTTATCATGAATTTTGCGAGTCTGTGAAATTTTGTTGAAGTGAAAATTTCTCTCGGGTCACATAACATGAAATGTCAGCAAATCTTTTACCATAAAAATCATCAAAATGCAAAAAATCCTCTAAGTGAAAATCAAGCCATTTACAGTAACCAATATTGCAAATTAAAAGAGGAACAATAGTCATGAGTAAATAAATATTGCGATTCACATGTATTGTGTATATTGCATGTGCCATGACAACATACAACCTCCATCCATGCTGATATTCTATTTTGCAAAATCATTGGAAAATTTAGACTCGCCTCTTCTCCTATCTGCCATTGTAATCTGACTGGTGCTACGAGTTGTTTATTGCTTTCTCCTTTACAGTGACCATCTTCACGATAACCTAGATTCAACAAATCTTCTGCCATTGTGAACTCCCACATATGAGCACTGATTGGAGCATCGGCACTAACAAGACAAAACAGATTGTGAAATTGTTTATGAATAGTTCATTCTATTTCACAATCAGACTGCTCAGAAGAGCTCAAATTGTTGTTTGTTTGCAAGACGAATTTTTTTTTTTTAAATAGTTTTGTTCGATGGGAGCAAAATGCTACTAAACATAAATTAAGTTTCAGGAGCAAGATAATTTTATGTGTAAAATAAACGAAAAAAAAAAACATTATGAACTATAGACGAGTGATCTTACAATAATTACACTAGTAAAAATTTTCACGTCCAAAAATTTATAATAAAAAAAACAATCTGCCAATTATCAGCATTTATTATGTTATAATTCCTTTAATGAATTTTAAGTTAAATGATTTCACATACAGCTTTTTTTATAGATCTAACATGAACTCAAAATGTTTCAAATATGTCTCCAGGTTTTTACTTGTGCATGTTATTCTCTGGTCTGTGTGAAGCAGCATGTAGGACAGTGTTACCCTTTTTTTTTGCAAGCAACTATACTTTTGCCAGTATTTGTGGTATATTGCCCTCTGTAGTTGAAATCATGTTATTTATATTCATAGTGGCATAAGAATTCTTAATGGAATCACTGTATTAGCAAGGGCTGTATCAATTCAATTAGTTGAAAATACTGAGAATATATAGGATAGATATCTCAATAATGTTTGCACTGTAATGAGTACCAGGGCCTACAGAGAAATAAATTTGTATCTCGGGGCGGAGCTACGTCACAAGACGTTCCACGTTGCTAAGACGTGCACCACTGTACCATGCATTTCTATGGGCTCTGTGCGCGCTGCTGTGGAACGCCGGACGAGTCGGTGAAAATTCGAGAAAACAACACAAACTCAACTCAAGTAATCCTGAACTCAAGTAATCCTGAACAACCAAATTTATATATGTTACACACGCAAAACTATTCTTGATACACTGTTCAGGGGAGTCTCAACAACCACCCTAAAGTACCGTTTTCTGTGAGTTTTTGGCCTTTGTTTTCACCAGCGATATATGTAGATGCTAAATGTAAATATTTACATTCAAATGTTTTTATGCAATACTTATTTTTTTTCAGGTTCAAATGCAAGAACCTTCAAGGTTGCTGTTTAATGGTCAATGTGAACATGTATGTGATTTTGTCATGCAAAACAAGCATAAATTGTCAAGAACACTGCCCTCTATGGCAGGTTCAGTGAAAACTGATACACTGTAAACCACTAGTTTAACAAGATTTACGAACTTTGCGAGTCTGGGAAATTTGCCAAATTCTGTAGCAGTAGATGCATTACTAGGATATTTAAGACATGCAGTTACATCTATTTTAGTGGAAGTATTTTCTTGTGAGCATCATAAACTTTCAGTTGACTCTATTATGAATTATCATCATTATCTATCGATAGTCTGAAATTATATCAGTGAGATAATTATACAATGTTTTTCTCTGCATATTCTTTCAACATACAAAAAACAATGATGTGTAGTATTGCGAACATCACTACATTCACCATACCATATCAACTTCTGATATTTTACACAAAGCATAACGATGTGTTCAAGTCGTTAATTAGGTTGGATTTGAACTGTAGAATACTTTATTTTTGCTATTTTCGCTGAAGGGATGATTCTGTGAAAATAAAATCCAGTGAATATACATTTTCTCCTATATTTCACATTAAACTCATCAAAAATCAGTAAAAATAAATTCCATACAAAACAACCAAAAAGCTTTTTCAGCAAAAATTAATTCCAGCGAAAATAAAGTATTTCACAGTATCAACCACCAGACTGATGCAGCAACAAGTTGGTGCTGGTGATCAGTAGCACTCTTGAATCAAGGAGGAGAAATATAAATAAATTTTTCGAAATAATCTTTGAAACACTTCATCCAGTAAAAGAGCTATTCGTGTTTGAGGATTGTAAAAACTTGTATCACTTGCAAAAGATAACATAACAAGTTTGAAGGATCAAATCTTCCTATATCTCAGCTTACTGAAAACATATATATTGCCATAGTTACTTGATTAGTGTTAATATTGGCTTTTTAGGATGAAGTTACACATGTTCTCAATAACCTTGTAAAAATATTCTAAATTTTGTACATATACTTACAGCGAATGTTCGATATTTATTGCCACTCGTCCATTCTTGAAGACAATAAATGTTACAGACTTATCAAACCATCTATTGTAGCCATTACCATGTAAACAGGAACGAGCATAGGAGTTGAGTTTATTGTGGTCTTCCTGCAAAAATCAAGTAATTATCTAGAGTCAATATAAACTTTATATAAATATGTATGTACGGTCTGTAATTTTATTTTATTACATATCTGTTTTTGTTTTTTTTATATATGGACTATGTCTAAAATAAAACCATGATAAATAAATAAAATAAATCTACTATTTTATAAATCAAAGTGTTATAATTAAAAAATTCAAGTTTACCAAACCAGAAATGATACTGTGACATCATCGTTAGTTAATTAACTCATATTAATGAGTTAGTTCAACATTATCTAATCAATCTAATCATTTTGAATAAGTTGGCAGACAAGGTGCTATGTCAAGTGGATGCATTATTAGCATAGATAATGTTTAGCTTTAAAGCCAATCATTATTTGAATGAAAGCAGATGATTTTACAATTTGTTATGAATAAGCAAACATATCACGGTTTCTGCCTTATGCATTCTTGTGCTACTTTGTAAGTTTTAACCTATCGGGGTTAAAACCTATTAAAATCAAGCTGTTAATTAGTATGCAAATTAGGCAATTAGCTTTTGTAGATTAATTACAAATTAGTGTTAAACATTCAACTTGTACAGTTTGCATCTACCAGATTCAGATATCAGAAAACATGCTGAGAGTAATGAAATAATATACAAAGTGCCCAATTAAGAAGAACTAAAATTCAATCAGGTCTTGAGTTAATCATAATGTATCTATGTAATCAAACTGCATCCTAATCCAGACAGTTGTTTGAGATATATTAGTAGAACAAGACTTGGCACATCCCGCAGACAGACAGAGATCTGTACAACCATCTGCACACTCCGAAGCCAAAAGTGAAAAAGACTTCACAGTACCAAATTCATAAGAATGAAAGGCTCAAATCTTACTTTATCATATTCCGGTTTCGCATCATCGAAAGTTACAAAGAATGCTGCCTTATCAATAGCATCCAATGATGTTCGGTTTACGCCAGAACGGAAATGCTTCTCACGAGCAAAGGCCCATGGTGTCCTGTCAGAAATAAAAAAAACAAGTCATTGTCAATGACACGTCCCCGTTCCGTTCATATTTGAGTGACATATACATTCAAAGCAGATCATGACCGAAATGCACCTGCATATGTACAACACATTGTACTAAATCTGAACAAAATCCATGCATGCATGACTGAGATCCGGTTCTGGAATTGTGAAAATACGTGATTTTAATGCATTTTCGGCCTTAAAATGGCCATCATTCAGCTATTGCTAAGCGG